AACCTTCCTTCCGAGGAGTGGCTGGTGGGTTTGAACCGCCAGCCTTCTGGTTAGCAGTCAAGTGCCTTAGCCACTATGCTACCAGAGCTCCCAATACTAATAGTAGTGGCTTTAAAACAGACAAAAACAAACAAAGTAAAAAACAGAAAAAAGAGAAAAGAAAAATCAGGGTAGGGCAGGGCAGGGCACCCAGGCTCAGTCCGAACACACAGACTGGGGTGGAGTTCCTGCCGGCCCAGAGAGTGGGTGGGAGTGAGGTATGGCCACCCTTCCTTTCACCAAGAGGGTGTGGGGTATAAGAATAACAAGGGGAATGTTGCACCTTTCCAGTCCCCCGGGTCTGGAATGTCCTTGGGGTTCCCAGCAAGTGGACCCTGTTCTTAAGTCCCTGGAATCTGGGAGAATGCTGTCACTTTAAACATCCAAAATGGTCAAGCTGCTTGTCAACATTCAAAATGGCTGTGCCCTCTGGACCAACAAAAGTCCACAGCTCAGCCCGCCTTCCTCTTCGCTGCTCTCCCTTTTATTCCCCAGCCACCAGAGCAGTCCTCCATGCAGTCCCTGGCTAGCAGGGCCGATTTTTGGGTTAATTCTTAGGTCCTGCCACCACTCGGCAATATCTGAGCTGTGTGTGCCGTCAGGATCACTCAGGATCACTGCCAGCCCACAGCTCTGCATGTCTCCTTTTTTGGTGTTTTCATGCAAATTCTTCTGCTAGTTGGGGTTTAGTCCACTCTATATCCTTCACTTCAAGGCTCAGGGGTCCAGGATTATCTTCTGTATCTGTGTCAATTAGATCCCTTTTCTTTGTTGAACAGGGTCTGTGCAGTCTTTCTGTCTATTCTGCCATCTTACTGGAACTCCCCCTATGTTGTTATCCTTAAAAAGACATTTTAGAATAAAAAGAGATATAGGTAAAAAGTCCAATGGAGAAATAAAGTGGAATACCTTATTTTTGCTTGACCAAAAGAAGGCAAAAAAGAGGAAGCACATTTTTGAATAGCAAGATGGCAGAGTCAGTTGTACCAGTAATTACATTAAATGTAAATCAGTCCAACACCCAACTAAACGGCAGAGATTGTTGGGCTGGATTTTTAAAAACATGACTGGGTTATATACTGTTGCACAAAGCACATGGGGATGGTGTCCTCTGGCCTCCTCTGACTTCACCAGGGGGAGACAGAGTCACCAGCAGCTGGGCCTTTATGAAACGGAGGCCAGACCTGCTGACACCCTCCCGTGTTTTACCAGTTCTGACACCAGCCCTCCCTCCCACAGCCTCTCCACTTCTCTGCTGGGCTCAGTAGTTCCTGCAATGGCCACACAGACTCACAACCAATGCTCACCGTCACCACGTTCACTGGGGAAGGAGCAGCTTACTATTCGGGGCCAGGAGGGGGCCGCTGTCTCAGTGCAGGGATCTCAGGTCCAAGAACACACTCCACGTTGGCTACTTCTCTGTCCTGATGGCGGTGAGCTCCCCTCTGCACCTCTGCGATGACCTGTATTAAGCCTATCGAGATGGCAAAACTGACCACTCCTCACATCAGGGTTCCATACACCTTATTTGCAAAGTCCCAC